CGTGGGAATATGCCTAGCCACTTGAAGAAGACCTCATTCTTACTTTAAACTGGGAAGAAAGTATTGTGAAGTGTCTGCTTTATATTTAGTTTCACTACGTTAGGTACTGTACTGGTGTATGATATATAAATCTTAAACTGGAGTATGTATGCATCACAACAGTGAATCGATATAATCTATAAACGTGTTGATCATTCACCATTTTGTAAGCTCTACCATTGCTGTGGTAGATCTTTGAACATGACTGTTCACAGTATATAAACAGATTGTACATAATGTAAGCTATAAGGAATTGTTTTTGCAGCATCTGCAGAATACAAAGCTGGCATATGATAGCTGCATTTGGAGATAATGGAAAATGAAAGCTTTTAAAGGTATCTGAGGGTATAAGTTCATACTTCTTTTATCAACAACCAGAGAGATATTTCAGAGGGTCAGAAAATTGGAGTGGGATATACTTTTATATATGAATTTTCCATTCCAATGCAGTTTTAGCTGTCTGCAGAGTTCATTTATCAACACTATTTTAAGTGAACATTTAATTCAGCTTTTTCTCTCTCTCAAGTGTTATTTTTTAAAGAATCCTTACATATTGGAAATTAAAAGTAAAAAGACAGTGAAGCAATCTGAAACTGCTAACTCAAAACTTGCCTGAATATTTAACTGAAAATTTGTATTCTGAGCTAGAGAAAAATTTCCAAGCTGCTGAGTGCTTTAGGACAACAACATTTTTTAAAGGTGGCCCTGGGATGTTATGGGCTAATCCACACAAAGAAAGAGGCAGCCAAAATTAAAAGAAAAACACTTAATTCTCCAGTAAGATTTGGAGCTTTAGCTCTACTACTTAATCTCAATTAGTTACTAGGTTAGCCTTGACTCCTCTCTTGGTCTCTCTTGTGGCTGTTGGGAAGTAGCCCATGCTGAAGGTGGAGCAGAGCTGCATCACATCAGGGGGAATTGTAGGAGGCACTCTCACTCAAGTTCCCCAGCATGCAGCATGTGTGCTACTACATCCCTTTATGGGGTACAGCTGGTCTTCCTCCACAAGCTGGGTTGGTGAAGGCGAAGCCATGAGGACACACAAAGGGAGCAGACTTTGTATTCACAAAAGCAGATGCTCTACCTTGGAAAAAATGGATTTTTGTAAAAGGCACTGCTTGGCAAATTAATAAAGAAACCCTTTTGGATTAATGCAACAACCACCACCAAGACTGACCTATTGCAAAAGAAACCTAGTTTGCTGTTACTATAATCTACTCATATTTAACATGACTGCTGTCAAAAGAGTATAATGAAGAAAAAACTCAATGACTATAGCCTGGGCCATCTTCTCTTTCCTGTGCAACTTTAATTCTGCTCCCTAGGCATGTGCCTTATGATACAGTGTTTAATTACATGATCATATACTACTTAAAAAAAAAAAAAAAAAAAAACACCACAGGAACCCTGGATGGATGCACAAAGGAGAAATTCCTAACTTTTGAGTGCTTTACTTTGCAACCTAAATAACATTATTTTAATGTATGTTTTAAATGTAATATAAAATACATATTATTCCATGTTGTATAATGAAATATTTTCAGCTCAGATTTAGTTTACAAAAGTGGAATATTCCAGCTGCTACATTTTTCATCAATGGTCAACAGTAGAAATCATTTTTTTACTACTTACTGAGTACAGCTTTGACACTTACCAAAAATCCTCCAGTTTTTGAGTTTCTTATTAGTGTCAAGCCAAGGTTCATCTGTTCCTTTATCTCAGTAACATTTGGGATGCGTGTTAAAGCTAAAAATAAAGAGATTAAAGGATAGCAAAAAAACCCTAAATTCCTATTATATGTTCCCCGGTTACACAACTCAAAGTTTAAGCTTAAGGAACCAGAGTTTGGAAGAGGAATTTTTCAAATCCCATAAAAGCTTCTGGGACAAAACAAAAGAAAGATAATTGGTGTGAGAAATTTGCTAGACAACATTAACTGGCCTTGTCACATATCAAGATTAGCATTTATAATTAGAGTGCCTGCTCTCAAGAGCTACAGGAAATAGGCAAAGCAGCCAAACGCCTCAAGTGGCAGTTTAACTATATCCAGTACAAATGTTTTTAGTAGGTTGAGTGACTACTCTTATTGTTTGCACTACCTGAGATAGCAGATCTCTCTCAACTGGATCAAGCCCAAATCTTAGATATTTCAGACAGAAAATATAGGATGATGGGAAGATTTGTATGAGAAGAGAAATGCTTTATTCCATAGCACCCTAAAATAGAAATTAAACGAGGATTTGAACATATGGTATTCTTAAACATCTCATCATTGCCTTATGTTGCCCTGTCTATTTGTTACATCTAATTGTTGGCTTCCATTTTACACTTAGATTGTAAACGGTTCTGGGTAGGAACAGTCTTTTTATGTTTGTTAAGTGCTAGCAAAATGGACCCTGATCAGAACCCCCTAAGCACTGCTGCAATATAAATAATATTTACCACTTCTGCAACTGCTACTAATTCTACAGTTAATATAGAGCGGATGTAAAAGTGTTAGAGAGAAACAGCAGGAAGTAGCATCAGAGTTATATACTGAGCTGGCTCTAGAAGCTAAAGCTGCCCTGGCAGCATGTGTAATAAATGAAGTGGAGAACAGAGTGGTCCTCTAAAAAGCTCTTATTTTTACTAGGCCTAACAAAAAAACAATACAACATTACATGGGAAGAAGCAATAACAACCATATGCCTACACATGCAGCAAATTTTAGTACTAAAAGAAAAATAAAAAGCTATGTTGGAAGGAGAAGAAAAAGTTATGCCCTCCCTATCTTCTTATTAATACCACTGTCCATATTTTTCAGATTCTTTTCAAGTCTTACCCTCATACCAAAGAATGCTCAGTAATAAAGAAACTATTTAGAATAATAGTGTCCTTTTTCACTTAATCAGGGTCAGTAGGTCTGTGCTGACTGCCTAATTCGAGTTTATCAAATAATCTGGCCTGGTACGGAAGTGAGGCAAAATGGACAATTGCATTAAGTCAGCATTAGTTACAACTTACTTTGTAAATTCAGTTTTTTACATGTGGTTTCAAGTGAGTCAACAGGACATGTGTAGATATCTCCCATTCTGTTAGCTGGATACCCACTCCATGGCGAGCCAACAAGCAGCCTAAAAACAAACAAACAAGGGGAAACTGATTCTTTCCTTACACTCTGATAAAGAGCAGTATATTTATTTGAAGATAAACTGAAAATAAATTAGAAAGTCTGAGGCCCCCTAGATAAGTTAGAGAGGAGCTCACAAGATTTAGCACGTAAAAACCAAAAAAACCCACAACCCAACTATTCCCTTTCCAAGTGTCCCAAAATTGTGCTTTGCTCAGCTGTGACTTCCCAGGGTGCACCGCACAAAGACAATGCAAGTATCATATCAGAGAACCCTGGTGGAGAATGGGGTTAGTGTATGGGAATGAGAGAGTCAAGTATTCAGAGGATGTTTTAATCTATTATGTGGTTATTAGTATTACGTTATCATGGAACTAGAAGGGACCTAAGAGGTCATCTAGTCCAGTCCCCTGCACTCGTGGCAGGACTAAATATTGTCTAGACCATTCCTGACAGGTGTTTGTCTAACCTGCTCTTAAAAATCTCCAATGATGGAGACTCCACAATCTCCCTAGGCAATTTATTCCAGTGCTTAACCACCCTGCCAGTTAGGAAGTTTTTCCTAAAGTCCAACCTAAACCTCCCTTGCTGCAATTTAAGCCCATTGCTTCTTGTCCTATCCACAGAGATTAAGAAAAACAATTTTTCTTCCTCCTCCTTGTAACAACCTTTTACATACCTGAAAACTGTTATGTCCCCTCTCAGTCTTCTCTTTTCCAGACTAAACAAACCCAATTATTTCAATCTTCCCCCATAAGTCATGTTTTCTAGACCTTTAATCATTTTTGTTACTCTTCTCTGGACTCTCTCCAATTTGTCCACATCCTTCCTGAAATGTGGTGCCCAGAACTGGACACAATACTCCAAATGAGGCCAAATCAGTACAGAGAAGAGCGGAAGAATTACTTCTCATGTCTTGCTTACAACACTCCTGCTAATACAGCCCAGAATGATGTTCGCTTTTTTTGCAATAGTGTTACACTGTTAACTCATATTTAGCTTGTGGTCCACTATGACCCCCAGATTCCTTTCCGCACTACCCCTTCCTAGGCAGTCATGTCCCATTTTGTGTGTGCGCAACTGATTGTTCCTACCTAAATGGAGTACTTTGCATTTGTCCTTACTGAATGTCATCCTATTTACTTCAGACCATTTCTCCAGTTTGTCCAGATCATTTTGAATTTTGATCCTATCCTCCAAAGCTCTTGCAACCCCTCCCAGCTTGGTATCATCCGCAAACTTTATAAGTGTACTCTGTAAGCCATTATCTAAATCAATGTTATATCACAAAATCAAAGAAACATAGCAAAGGTATCAATAATCACAAATATATAAACAGTAATTAATTTCTAACAAATATAGATAGACAAATAGTGAATTGGGAAATTATGATCTGCAGTTTCCTGACAGTAAAAACCCCCATAAAGAGCTGTCAGGTAAAAAGTTCACTGATTTCTTTTAAATTATCCTTTTAACTGATAGGAGACATTATACTTAACGCTTACACAGTGACAGTATGTTGCCCAAGTCTGAACTTGAACTCTGCTACTACACCTTGAAAACACTGAGTCAGAAAGGAAATACTGTGATGATAGGTGTAGGTGATGATAACAGACTATTGTGTTGTGTCTGTTTCACCCTGGAAAAGAATTTTTAGATGCACAGCTTCTAGTTAAGTTGCCAAAAGTCTTCTAGTGATTCACTCTCCTCTAATTCTACACTCCTAGCAACTGCCACACACTCCCTTTCCAACGTTCACACCACTCTGAGCACCTTCCATTTGGGGAATGCAGAACAGTTTTCAAACATTAGCCAATTAATCCCAGATACCTGGGGACATTGGCTATAAATACCGACATTTCAACTTTCACTTACCATGGAAAGGCAGCAGCGATGTAACAGTAGTTTAGGACAGGAAGTGAAGGAGAATTCCATATACCATAGAAAATGCAGGAGAAATGTGGATAAGTAGAACTATTTCCATGGGTATGAACAGTGATGTCTCAAACACTGGATTGTGAAACCGCTTAATTAATTATTAGAAAAGGAAAGACCTCCTGCTTATATACTCTAATATCCATCTATGACCTCTGATTATAGAATATTAACCAGTGGGTAACTAGTGTTTATATGAAAGGGTAATAAAAAGCAAAGATATGACAAGGAAAGGGTCCCTGTTGAGAAAGTTTTACAGAGTTTAATAGAAAATGATAACTTTTCGATAGGGTTGGAATTAGTAGAATTCTAAGGAGAACTGTATCCCCCACCTCCCATAGAATTCTATAGGATAGTTAAAACAAAGAAAAAACAAATTATAGCAATGATATTTTCTATTATGTATTTTCAAAGCAATTTCTATATAACTTTACTACATTTCCATAGGACCCACATGACCTAATTGCTATTCAATACTATAGGAATTCAATAAAATGGGTTTGATAAAAATATTACATTTCTTAACACACAAAGGATGTTTCAGGTTTATTCAGACAAAATATTTCCATACACACCTTAGAATGTATTTAATTTCAACTAAACACAACAGTATGAAGAACAAACAACCCTATTTCATTTTAGCAACACAAGTCAGTCAGCAAAAATATAACAAAACTTTAGAATGTACCTAACCTTTTTCCTGTGTAGGAGTATTTTAAAAATAAATGCCTGCATCTCAATTATCTTGCTGAAAACAGTGATTATGCAACAAAAGAAACAGAGCGAATTTACCCACCCCAAAAAAACATCTGAAATACTTTGTTTTGTAAGCAAACAGGATTTTATGTCCTTCCAGCAATTCCAAACCTATCATATGGTGTTATAAATATCTCTTTATAAAATGTGATAATGTCAGATTCTCTGTATAGTCCAGAGAAATGGATATTGGATTATTGACAAAGGCCTATCGAAACATGAAGAAAATCAGCTTTATAACTCCAGTACAAAACCAATAACCAGGCTGTCCAATAAAGCCTATAACTGGGATGTTCACTGGCTTCCTGTGAGCAGGTTACTGTGCTTTTGTCATTCTCTACTACCCACTAAGTACATGCAGAGATGGAAGGGTTTTGTGTGCGCATGCAGAAAATTATGCAATTATTCCATATTTTGTTTAAGGCAAACCAGAATAAAATAAAATGCAATTTAATTTAATTCAGATCCAATCCTGCTCCCATTTTAATCAATGACAAAATTCCTGTTAGCGGCAAGATTGGACCCCAAAACCAGTATCTTCACAAAAAGGGGACTGAGGTTACAATATAATTGTTTTGTACTTAAAGAAAACCTAAAAGACAAGGAAGTTCTAATATACATCAATTAAATTTCGCTCTTTCCCTCTTTTGTGTTTGACAGTCAGTTTCCACTCTTTGTGTGGGCCTCTCTACAGCAAAATAAGAGAAAAATATTTACAACAGAAAAATGTCATTGTAAAACCAAACCAAAACAAACCGAACATTGATAGCGAAACTTAGGGGCATGAGTAGTATCTGAAACTAAATTTATCTTTTAGAACTGACTAGGTTTCAAGTTGATGCTCTCATTTAAATATTTTAAAACACCACTCTGCATATAATCTGTAAATATTTCACTCTCTATAAATATGTATATTATGCATAACTATTTGTGTACTTTTTTTCTAAGTTTCTCAAAATACATTTAAGCATCCACAAGAGAAACTACTTATTAAAACAAGAAGGCTATCATTAGTAGATTTTGGAAATACTTATCATAAGAGTAATATATGGGGTATGTGACAAATATAATGTCTGGACTGTGTTGGAGTCATCCTGTAATGATGGGTTATGTCTAAGTATATTTTATTCACATAGAAACTAACTGTGAAAATATGAAACAAGCAAAAGAAAACAATTATGTAAAGATTTCACCACTCAGCTGAACTGCAGTCATTTTAATGCCTACATTTGTAGATTAACAAAGTCAGTGTTTCCTTATCTGTGGGTTGCCAGCAGTTCCCTGGGGTGGGAGGGTTTCTATCCTGTGCCCGTTCCCTGTCTCTGCTCTTCCATGAAAGCTAATTTGCACAATTATTTGTTCCTTAGGATATATCTACACAGCCAGTGGCAGCTCATGGCAGTGAGCCTCTGAGCCCAGGTTGACAGACTCAGGCTCATGGTGCCGCTCTAAAATTAGAAGTGTAGACAGTGCTTTTCAGTTGCTACTCAGGCTGGACCTTGGGCTTTGAAACCTAGGGAGGCCATCCCATCCCTAAGCTTCAAAGCCTGAGCTACAACATCTACACATATTTTTAGTGCTGCAGCGTGAGCCTCATGAGCCCGAGTCTGCCGACCTGGCCTTGGAGGCTCACTGTTGTGGACTGTGTAAATGTATGCTTGGGATATGTCTACCCCCTTGGGAGCTGCCACCCAATGTACCAAGACTACTTCTATTCCTGTTTTCCCTGCCAACTCAGGACTCCAGTACCCTGTCTTGCTGAGCCAGACACTCCCATCTGCTCCAACACAGACCCAGGGTCTGAGTAACTTGCCCCAAGGCTGCAGGTTTACCTGAAAACAGCTCACAAAAGTGTGCTCGACTTTAGCACTCAGATGCCCAACTCCCAATGGGGTCTAAACTCAAATAAATCCATTTTACCCTGTACAAAGCTTATGCAGGGCAAACTCATAAATTGTTCGCCCTCTATAGCACTGATAGAGAGATATGCACAGTTGTTTGCTCCCCCAGGTATTAATACATACTCTGAGTTAATGAATAAAAAGTGATTTTATTAAATACAGAAAGTATGATTTAAGTGGTTCCAAGTAGTAACAGACAGAACAAAGTAAGTCACCAAGCAAAATAAAATAAAAGGCGCAAATCTATGTCTAATCAAACTGAATACAGACAATCTCACCCTCAGAGATGCTTCAGTAAGTTTTTTCTCAGACTGGACACCTTCCAGGCCTGGGCACAATTCTTTCCCCTGGTACAGCTCTTGTTCCAGCTCAGGTGATAGCTAGGGGATTCTTCATGATGGCTCCTCTCTTC